CTTGGTAAATTAATAATGCTTCATATCATGATGACTTACAATTTTTTAAACATATACTTTAGTAATACATTCAACCATGTAGCTGTTTCTAAAATCATATTAATAAACTTAGAGAAGTTAAATATGTAACGGGACAGCAATGGGGCAAGTCCATAATATACACAAAGGACCTTCTTACACCATAAAAAGTTAACATTCCATTGTAAATATTTTTAAGGTGTCCGATGAAGATGAAAATGTATATTGTTGAATTCATTTATTCATAAATATTTAAGAACTGTAACTATTGATTTGTTGATATAGGGTAATTCAACTCTTTTTATGAAGCTTATCCAAACAACTAATGTCCACTGTAACAATAAAGTAACAATACATAATTAAAGACACTTAATCTTTAATTATGATAAAAAAGAACCACAGATTTGATTTTTTTTTAAAGACATTTTCTATGTTGGCAGCAATTTCTGAATTACTGTTAGGAGCAAACTGACAAAGAAAAGTTCCTTTAATTGAGTATACTGCTTTCTGTACTTTTGGAGAACCCCAATTCCCGTTGAGATTCAAAAACCTGACTGGCAAGAAACTCATCTATTTCCCAATAGCCCGTGAAATCCTAAAAAAAGAGAAAGAGAGAGAAAAATAATATTTAACTATTATCCAAAAGATTAAATTCAGCATGTAAACAAGGGTAAAAATTATACGTTCATCCAAGCTACTTGCAAGTATGCTTTGCAGCCTTTAATGCTGGAAATTCATTCATTCATTTGTTTGTTTCTTTCTTTGTTCATTCATTCGCTATAGATGCCCATCTGAATCAATGACTCTTTGTAACAATTCAAAAAAATATATTACAATTAAATACTGAAACATTTTAAAAGAATAAACAAACAATAGGAAACAATAAAACAAATAAATATACAGTACATACTGTGTTTTCCCCAAAATAAGACCCTGACTTATATTTTTTTGAACAGTGAAATAAGCGCTAGGCCTTATTGCCATGCGCTCAAAAGTCCGATTAGGCTTATTATCAGAGGATGTCTTATTTTGGGGAAAACAGGGTAGTAGCTGAAATGCTTGACCAGTTAATAGTAAAGCCAGCAACCTAGGCTCAGAAACATGGCCAGGATTGGGGCCATTCTAATCTCCAAAGGAAGGATGTTCCATACAGCAGGGACCACCTCAGAAATATAGGTCTTTCATTAAAAATAGAACCAAAGCTCTGCCATTATATCAATAGTCATGTATTAAGTTTCAATAAATATTCTTAGTGATTTTGGAAATTGGTCACTTGTATTTCATGCAGAAATTAAAAATTACATGCCCCATGATAAAACTGGAAGTTATCAAAGTTAAGAACTCCTATTATCATAATGTAAATTAAAAATATCTAGGGAGTTGTTCCTGCCATAAAAATATTCCTAAAATATACATAATTATTTCTGAGATACAATATATCATCCAATATGAAAAATTGGGTTCAACTCTAGCTGTTTTTATGTCAGAAATGCCCTTTGATTGTCTTAATTATACCAGGATAAAATTAAACATAAGAACAGACAAAGGACATTCTTGATAAGTTCCATGAGATATCTTGGTAACTTGAAATAATTCTATTTTAATAAAATTGTCCCAAAGAGTAGAATTTTAATCCAATTAATAAAAAAGGGAAAACTTGCTCTCAAAATATCAACTGCGCTGTAAAAAAAAGATCTTTTACACATCTAGGAAGACTACTGCTGATTGCATTTTTTTCAATTGTTCCTAAAATATAAATCAATAATATAGTAGGATTTGAGGAATATCAGCCTTTTATAAAATCAAATTGCAGCATATGGACAATGAAAGGTAATACTGTCTACAGTCTATCTGCAAGGATTGCTGTCAAAAATTTGGCAATAATATTTAACAAGGAAATTGGTTAACTTGCCCAATCAGCAGAATCTTTATTAACCTTCCAAATCAGAGTTATATAAGTACATTAAAGGAAGGTGGCAACCTTTTATTCAAGAAAGAATCATTATAAACCTTCAACAACAACAAAAGAAAAAATGCTTTATACTATTCAATATGAGAGCCCCCAAGATTGGAATTTTTCTTGTTTTCACAGATTTAATGTCTATTATTTCTTGAAGTGATAAAGCTGCAACTAGATAAACAGTTGAGTCATGTGTAACTTTTGAACAAAGTAAATTTTAAAAGTCATGAATTTTTCTCATGGTAATGTTTTATTCAGTACTTTAAACATGAATACATTTTTTAAAATAAAAATATAAGAATGGAGGAGAAGGAGATACATCTACTATTTTTATATTTTGAATATTTCAGTGTGTAAGTTTAACATCCGAATATGGATCAAAATTGCACTTATGCCTTGTAGTCTTTATAGCGAGAAACACTGGAGAATTATGGTCAAAAGAAACCATGCCCCTATAAGGGCTGGATATTTGTTGAACAAGGCATAAATGGCTATGTGATAGGTGTGCTTCTGCTCACTGGAAAATAATAGACGGCAGTATGTCAAGTAGCATCTGGACATGGTAGAAGAAAGGAAACAAAGGTAATTTCCAAGGATTAAAATATATGGAGATATATCTTGATTCATGTTACCTTGAAAGGAAATCATATTATGGATAAATATGTAAATATGGTTTCCCCAAAATAAGACCTCCCCTGATAATAAGCCCAATCGGGCTTTTGAGCACATGGCAATAGGGCCAAGCGCTTATTTCAGGGTTCAAAAAAAATATAAGACAGGGTCTTATTTTCAGGAAAACACGGTATCAATGAGATTGAAATTTATAACTTAGAAACAGCATAACCTGACTTGTCTCCAATGATAGTGACTGATCCATATAACAAAGTAAAATTCCATCCCATCACCTAATTCAAAATAGGTTCCAACAACAATGTAATAAACATGCTACAATTATGATATGGCACTGAAGTTATTTCTTCAGGCCATGTGTTGGCAGATGGGATTTTAAATTTTTATCCCTTTATTATTTTTATGAAGAAGTCAAGGTGTAAACATATCTAATACTCTTTCCTTCTTCTCTTTTCCCCACAACAACAATCCTGTAAGGTGGGTTGGGCTATGACAGAGTGACAACCCAAAGTCACACAACACTTTCATGCCTAAGGCAAGGCTAAAACTCCCAGTCTCCTGGTTTATAGCCTAGACTAGAGCGTTAACAATTAAATCAAACTGGATCTACTTTACAAAATGTTCTGCATTACAAAATGACTTCCTTGCATATAATGGCCAAGGCCCATTTCAAGCTACTTGTTCCAGAGAGTGGTAATGTAATAATAGGAATCAGATGCGAACAAAATTCATCTGTTTCTTTCATGTGTTTTTGTTTGGAACCAATCCAATAAAAGCATAATATTCTCCAGATGTCCTTGTATATTGTGCTAATATTGGATTGATTTCAAATCTTATGACTTTCCCATAATTAATACTTACAGCAAAAAAAAGGAAAGAACATTCACTAAGGATAAATGTTTTAAATGGTAGCAAATAGAATAATACTCTGGCTAAAACATCCATGAGTGGGAAAAGATTGAATGTATGCATAAATTTGGGTGGGGAGAGATCATATTTTATCTCACCAATACCAGGATACTTCTATTATCATCAAAAACTTGTGGAATGCTGTTGTGAATGATGCTTACAATATTGTAATTAACAAACTCTACACATTTTTAATTTTCTTATTACCTCACAGTTTACACTATTATTCATTCCAGCTACAGAATCTTAAAAGTGATAGCAAAGACACTGTACCTTTAATGAAAGATTATTAATTTTATCCTTTGTTCCATATTATTTTGCACAGAGACCCCCTTTCCTTTGCAGAAACATATCTCAACCTTCCTATATGACATCTGGAATGCATGTTTTCCATAGTGACTAAATTTGGAACAACTGTTGTTGCTACAAATTTTGTTATAAGCATTTGTTGCAAGCCCTGGAATTTAAAAGAGAAATTCCTGCATTGGTTTTGTCATTAAGCAATTGGATCCCCTTGTAAATCTCGTTTCCCTACAGATGATGTTCTATTCTTCTAAATATATATCTATACCAGTTTATTTATACACACACAGACACCCTGATCATATTGTTCGTGTTTGTATATTTTTCCCCTAAAGTGTAGGAGAATAGATCTCCAGTTAATGAATTTTCCATCTGAATCCCAACCTCAAATTATATTAGACAACCTCTGAAATTACTAGTACTAGATTGGTCTGTCCTGAAACTGAAGTAGACTGGGAGATCTCTGTAAATATCTGCCAGTCAGAACATTTTACATGTCCCAAATAGTGATCTTGATGACATGTTTTAACTGGGACAGAGAAACATAGCTTCTTATTTGAATATCTGTTAGCTTTGTTACCCCTTACTGCAGTATTAAAAATCATTCTATACTTCCTCTCACAGTATTTCCAAAAGGGTAGTCTTGTTATTCCATCGTTTTCATGGGGCACTTTAGGATTGCTCCAATTATCTGAGCAAGTAAAGAAACAGGCATAAAAACTTAAATCAAACTGTCTCCTTTTTTTCACACATACTGTACATATATCCAGAGTTGTTCACATGTGTATCATCACAAGCTTTATTCTTGTTTTGTAAACCAACTGGTGAATGATGGTAACATCATGGGAAGCATTTTACAGCTACAGTGAATGATGGTAACATCATGGGAAGCATTTTACAGCTACTGCTCTAATATTTGGCTGAAAGGTTATTTTGTACATTCCGTATCTCTTATTACTTCGCTGCCACTTTACCTCTGCCTTGCTTTCATTGGCTGATTTAGCTTCTGTCACATTCAACAGTTGGCAAAAATCACTGACAATTGTTATTTGGAGGAATACTAATGAGGAATACTATTCTCTGTATTCTTTATATGCTAGCAAAAGCCCCATTAGTAAAGCAAAAGATGAAAACAGTTCTGTTTCCAGTCACGTTCCCAGCGCTTCACAGCTCTACTTACTTTGAGGTGCTGAGCCACTTGCCAGACAGAGGGATGATTTCCAGCCATACTGTGGGAATTATGTTGAGTGCCAAAATTTCCTAGAGCGGGAATGCTGATTAGGTCAACAATCAGCATCAGACCTGAGAAACGCAAAGCAAGATATCCGTTAAGCTGTTGGAAAGGTGGGAAAAGCAAGCACTGGATTTAAACTGCAGTAGGTATAAAGGGGACTGTGGTCTCATGTGGACTGAGGGCAACTGACTGCTTCAAGTGGCATCAGCCTAGTGTGCAATAAAGATTCTTATTGAGCTGTGTTGTGCTGAGCATGTCAGTAGCTTTTGCTGAGTTCAAGCCGAGGAGCCTGACACATTCACCGAGTTGGCAAAATCCCTTCATAATCCAATACAGCTATTGCTACGAAACAGAGAGAGAGGGAGAGGGAAAAGGAAGAGTAGCAAAATCAAAAAATATTTTCAGTTCATTACTGTTGCTTTAGTTTGGAGACATTACTATTTTAAAAAATTGAAAAGGTTTCAAAACGAGATAACAGAGTTGAAACCCTGCCTTTAGACTTCACAGGAAAAAAAAAAACAGCTAAAATATATTGGCAATAAAATCCAGAAAACCAATGTTCAGTCTCAGCTAAATAAGTAACTAAAAAGGCTGCTGAATTGAAAGGTAAAACATTGCTTCGAAATTGTTTACTCGTCAGAAGATCTGTATATAAAGCCTGCAAAGAACACAAGAACACTGAACCAATAATTTGCCCTGGAAATTATACCTTTCTTCATTTATACCTAGTATTTCTATTAACTGACTACTAATATTCTTCAGCAACATCATATATTTATCATCTTCACCATCATTTCTAGATTCAGTCATTTCAAGGCTTAACTGTCATGCATTCAGTGATTCCAGTTCATATATTTTATGCTGCTGTGAGCTGATGATTCTTTCATTATTGCTGCAATCAAAAAAGGCAGCAAAATTAATAATGTCCATAAGTAATCAACTGGAACATCCAGTTAATGTAAAACAAGCCTAGGTTCTAAATTAAGGAACATACATTATTTTCTGTACAGCCTAAGTGCCACCCTTTCCAGGCAAACCAGATAGGAAACATAATCAGATCAACTAATACAAGTTTATTATAAGGCTACGTTAATAGAATCTTGCAAGTCTACCACCATTTCTTTTACAGTTTAAGAAGTTAGGGAAGGTCCCTTCTAATTCTCTTTTTCTGCTTATTAGGCAGCTGCAGGCTATGCTCTCTCTTATCTGACATTTCCCATGGCAGCATCCTTTCCCTCCATCTCCCAAGGTCTTTCCCATGAACGATTGTATTAGGTGACACTTTAACAAAATGCTCCCTGTTGTAAATGCAAGTGCCTTGTACACTCAGTACGTGTGGTAATAAAGGCTATAATACAATTCAAATTAAGTTGTTGGAATCCTATATTCCCAAATCAACAAAGTTCAAACATTAACACACACACACACACACACACACACACACCAGTAGTAAGAGTGGCAAACTCAAAAAACCTCTGAGCTAATTACCATTTGCTTTCATTTAATAGTGTTACTAGGGCTATTGCTTTCATTTAATAGTTACTATTGCTTTCATTTAATAGTGTTACTATGATCCAACAGGCGCCACAGAAAATGCTTTGGGGAGTCACACCTATTCTTGGGTATTCCCTTTCCCTATTATTGTCTTATTGACTTCCCCTCTAGGGCTCTTTCTCTCTCCATCCCTCTTTCCCCTCTCTTCAAAGCCTTTCCTCTTCCTTCTTTCCCTCTCCTCTTATTCTTATTCTCTTATTCTCCTTCCATTTTTATTTAAAGAAATTTTGATAACTTTTTCCTTTAAAAACGTAGATGTGTTCCCGGAACAAAGCAGCAGTTGCACATCTTTATTTCTCCAAAGGATCTCTTGGGGGGGTTCAAGAGACAGCTGGACAGTAACTCTGCTGACTATTATTTTTATAATTACTTTTAAAATGTTTGTGGTGCAGAATTAGAGAACTTCTCGGCTACAGGACCTTGGACGTGTGCCCAGCAACTCAGCCATAGCAACAAACTGCTTTCATGACCGTTAGACATCTAAGGCACAATCATAATGTGTTGTTGTAATCATTACATATCTCTTCTACAACTATGAGTAGGTCATAACTCCCATATTTTCCCACCATCACCTACCCCTGATGTGCTTTTAATCTGTTTACATTTACTACATTTCACGGAACACTTACCTCAATGGTATTGCACTCTGTTCTAATGCCAATGTGTACAGGTTAACAATGCAACAAACTATTTGGGCCAGCAGTCATAACTCAAAGATAGGAGTCACTTGATGTACTGTTCAACTATCGCTGAAATGTCTATAGTACACACTTTCAGATATTCACTTTGCAGTCAAGTTCTCTCCTGGGAACTCTCTTAAATGAAAATAATGCTCCTGATAAATCAAAGACACTATTGTTGTGAGAGACAATTATTGTGGGGGGGGGAGTATCATCATCATTATTGCACATGGGAAGGGAACCTGTACATAAATATTCCCAAATTGAAAGTTTTTTCTTAAAAAAACTAAAGTACCCTAAGCTTTAAATAAGAGAGCAGACAATAGATCCTGTTAGTTTTTCTGTACACATGGTTACCTCAGGGATAAGCAAGCATAACAATAAAAGAGCTACAATTAGTGCATGTATAATACATAGATGCAGGATGACTGGAATGTGGGCTTTTCCAAGTATTACAATGCATGTACATTCATTGAAATGAATGAATCCTATAAATAAGACTTTGGCTGCCTGTGTCCAGCCCGGGGCATTGGCTATGGAACAATGTTAGGGGGTGGTGATGGTAGGGGGACATGATATCAACATTGGAGAAGACGGCAGGTTGGCGGTGGGGAGCAGGAACATTGCCAGGGGCAGAACTGCAGCAGAGGATGTGGCTATAGCAATGGTCTTCCATAACTGTACCAGTTTCTCATCTGGCCTCTTGGGAAAATTAATTTCCCACTCCGGCTATTAATAAACTTACACAAACTCTTTTATTCTTTCCTGATTTCAGAGACTTCATAATTGTTAGAAAAATAGTCTTCACAATGTTTTTTTCCCCCAGATGGAAGTGCTTTAGGATATCTGTAATTTTTAAAATAAAAAAGATGCTAGTTAATATAGATAGGCCTTGAGTTACGACCGTAATGGAGCCTGCCCTTAGAATCTCAAGTCGGGACAAATGTTAAATAAGCTGCCTCAACCAGCCATCCCTGCTCTCCCCAGTGCATTTGTTAATCAAATGTGTGGGTCGCTAAGTGGAACAGGGATGATGCAGGTTTGGGGGAGATCCTGGGCGGCCTAGTGCAGGCATAAGCGCACCTTCCTTGGGACTTCCCAGGCCTCCCCCATCCCCGGAGATACCCCATGTTCCATTTCCCTCCCCCTTGGGTGACACAGCTGATTGTCTCTCCAGCAAGAAACAGTAGAGAAGGAAAATGCTGGGAGTGCCTGACTTTACTGGTTCTGTCACTGCCTTTCCTCCTGCCAAGGTATCCCTGCCTTTCTGGGGCAAAATAAGGATCCGTTCCCTAGTCTTTCAGAGCTTTCTGCTCTGATCAGTTGGCTGCCGATCAGCTGGTCTTCAGAAGACTGCTAATCTCTCCTGCCTCTTGCTTGCCTTTAGGAAATCAGATCTTGCATGCTGAGGCAGCAGCTTCAGGATGAACTTCTCACAACTTTTCTCTTGCTTTTAACCTCCTTCCTCCTCCAGAAAGCCACATTTCTTCAATTAAAAAAAAAGAGAGAGCTAAGTTTAGTTTTAGGTACTAAAACTAAACTCCCCACCTCCGCTCTCCAATATCTAACCTGTTTAAAAACCTTATCTTGACTCCAGGCTGAAGAGTAAAGGAAAGGCTGAAGAGTAAAGGAAAGGAAGCCTGTAAGCAAAGAAACTCTTTCTGCAGCTTTTTCCCTTGAGGAGTAGCAGCAGCAGCAAAAAAAAAAATCAACTCAGAAAGTTCAGCCATGTACAGCAATAAAAACAGGACAGAAACTGGATGGTTGCAAAGTCTGTCTGAATCCCTGTAAGGCCCAGTGAGGAGTCGCCTTGTACATGAGTGGGCTAGTTTGGGAATGGGAGTAGAATTAACTCCTTTTCAAACAGAAACTAGTAACCAGGGTGTTTAGGAGGGGCAACTGAAAGGTTCTCATGCAAGGGTCTATTATCTAACATTACTCTTAATTCTGACTAATTATGGAGGCATCTCTCTTTAGGGCCCCGTAAAGAAAGGCAGAAAACTTTCTGAACATGCATGGATGAAAGATATCTTTTAGTGATATGTACAGGTAGTCCTTGACTTATGACCACAATTGAGCCAAAAAATTTTTTTGTTGATTGAGACTTTTGTTAAGTGAATTTGGCCCCATTTTACAACATTTCTTGCCTCAGTTGTTAAGTGAATCACTGCAGTTGAACCGAGTTGTTGAGTGAGTCTGGCTTCCCCACTGACTTTGCTAGTCAGAAGGCCACAAAAGGTGATCACGTGACCCTGCAACATAGCAACGGACATAAATATGAATCAGCTGCCAAGCATCTGAATTTTGATCACATGATCATGGATGGGGATGCTGGAAAGGTTATAACTGGCAAAAAGGTCACAAGTCACTTTTTTCAGTGCTGTTGTAACTTTGAATCAGGGATGAAATGCAGCAGGTTCTGACAGGTTCTGGAGAACTGGTAGCGGAAATTTTGAGTAGTTCAGAGAATCAGCAAATACCACCTCTGGCTGGCCCCAGAGGGGGTGGGAATGGGGATTTTGCAGTATCCTTCCCCTGGAGTGGGGTGGGTATTCTTCCCCTGCCATGCCCACCAAGCCATGCCCACAAAACTGGTAGTAAAAAAATTTGGATTTCACCACTGCTTTGGATGGTCACTAAATGAACTGTTGTAAATTGAGGACTACCTACACAGCAAAGTTGTTATCTAGAAAACAGTGAATTATCTTTCAATTCAGTTAACCCAGGAGCATATCCAAGGCAAGGTTGAAAAATAACTGCCCTGCAAAATTGGTTTATAGCCCAATTCCCTAATGGAGATATGTTTAATACATTCCTCCATAAAGTAATCACTT